TTATTGCCTGGCTTCTTTGCGATTCTACTGTTCCTGTGTTTGCCTTCGACTTACCCTCGTCTGTGTAAATAGGTTTACCTGGATCAGCCCTTTTGTGACCCCTGGTGTGAGAGTGACCTGCTTGTGTGGAGACTGTTTGGACGAGGAGCAGAGCGAGTGTGAAGACATGTGTTTCCCCCCTGTTGACCCCCGGGACCCTGGTGTTTCCCCCCCCCTTCACGTGTACATAGCGCACCGGAGTGTTTAATAAAGTGTTGTTGAACCGTGCTACTTCAGTCTGCGCCTGAGTCCGTTCCACCCCCGTGACAAGTACAGTGTGTAGCATTTAGTATTGAGTGTTTAGTCGTGTGTTTAGGAATCGTACATAGCTTACAGCTAGCTTGTGCTTTTCCTGTTAGCAGTGAGGTTATGTTTCCTAATTTGGAATATCAGAAAACATCACATTAGTTCTGTTAAATACAAGAAAAGGCAGACATGGGTCGTCATCACGAATTTTACTATGGTTATCTGCTCCCTCACTCCCACTGTTTGTCTCCATCAGATGAAGCTGAGTTGTGTCCTAATCCAGTTTATCATTCTTTGGGCCAGGGTGGCACTCAACCTCTAGGTAAGATTCATTGTGATATTACAGTATATTTCTGTTTGGGTAATAATGTGATAGAAAAGGAATAAGTCATAACATTTAGTAAAATCTACCTAAGTCATCAGTACCACTCATCTTTCAACCCTTCATTATCTTCATAGCTGCTTTAATTTCTTCCTTACTAATCCTCGACCCCCCCCCCGCTCATCATGCTCTCTCATTTGCTAACCCCTTCCATTGAATGCTTACCTACACTTATTCATTCCGCCATTAAGTCTCATCGTCTTCTTTCGTCTGTCCACCAAACACTTTCTTGTTGCTATCATAGTATTTCTACCACACTGTTGTGGCATCTGCTATCTTTTGTGCTGCGGTCTGCTCGAGTGGTGGAATGACAGAGAGGGACATGGGGAAACTCAACAAACTGGTCAGAAGGGCCAGCTCTGTCCTGGACTGTCCGCTGAAGTCCATTGAGCAGGTTGGGGAGTAAAGGATGTTGTCTAAGCTGACATCCATCATGGACAACACCTCCCACCCCCTGCATGAAACTGTACGAGCACTGAGCAGCTCGTTCAGCAGTAGACTTTTACACCCACAGTGTAGGAAGGAGCGCTACCGCAGGTCATTCTTACCAGCAGCTGTCAGACT